GTGAAAAGAGTTGATGGTGAAGAAAAATTAAATTTTTATTGTAAGGGGCAAATAATTTGTTATATTCAAAATTAGAATTAAAGTTTTAATGAGTAAAATGAAATTTATTTAATATTAGAATGACTTATTTTGAAACCTTTCATATTAAGGGTGTTTTAGGTAGTTTCAAGGTTTGAAAAGGTCAAAGGCTATTTTGGAAAGAGTAATGATATTCATCCCCACTGGGGATGGAAACACGGTCTACATGTCGTCAATGTGACATTAAATGATATGTAAAATTAAATAAATCATTTAATTTCACATTTCATTTAACATATCATTTAAAGTCACATAGACAGTGTATTCATCCTCACTGGGGATGAATAACATTACTGTATAAGGAAAGGGTATGGTTGAATTTTGGGTATTTTCAATAATTTCCTGTAAAAATGGCCAGTAATTCAATTCCTCGTTGTCTGCTGAAAAATTTCATTTTCTTGTTTCAGCTTTGCCGTGGCCATTTCTTATGGCAGATTTCCTCAACCATTAACCGACTAACCATTTTTCATGGTGAATCTTCTTATCCCTTTTTTCAACAAAATTTTCAAATATGTTTGTTGTGGCCCTTCTTCCTTTTGAATTTGTTGGCAGAGGGTGTTGGAATAATAAGAGAAAACTGGTTCGGTTATCACTCTTATTTCAATCTTCTTGTAGTCGGTATAGTATTTAATTTGGGGTTGAGTCCAAAAAATGGGTGAACATGGCCGAACACAGGGAGATAAACATAACCTCCTCCTTTCGCAAACTATGCTTATTGAAATCATTTACATTTTCTTGACTGTAGTTGTCGTTTTTAAACAAATTTCAGATTCCAGTAGCATTGTTCTTTTGTTTTTCGGTTGCCAACTCTCATGGTAGAAAAACTATTTTTCGGTGACCTTTTGGTACGTGGTATAACATGGTTAACGTACTGTTTCCCACAGACGGCGTCAATCTGTTGACCCCAAAAAATGTGCCAACAGAATCCCCACCACGTCCCCTCCACGTGGACATCACCTGCACACTGAACACTCCGTCGGAGTGCGAACGGTCGCCAGACCTTTTTCTTGACCGGCGACCTTTGCCTCCTAACGAAGTGTTCAGTGTGCAGGTAATGTCCACGTGGAGGAGATGTGGTGGGGATTATGTTGGCACATTTTTTGGGGTCAACACCATTAATTATACGACTGCAACAAATTGATTCAATAGTAGATGTAGAAAATGCTATCTTACCTACTTATCGTTCCTCAATATCGGCCATTTTCATACAAATTTGGGAAGGCGACGCAGGTTCACTTCAACGGAGTTCATCATAAGCGACTGAGAGCTTCTGCAGGTAGAGGACACAGTTGTAGGTTTCATTTGTCACGAGAACTTGGTCTGGGTGGTGACGATCGGTTAGGGGTGAGTGAAGCAATGGTGTCGTGATTTTAGGGCTTGTGGGGGCGCATTCTTGGAGTTTTCGTTATGGTGATTTGGTATTTGAGAGGTCTTTTATTTTCAATTGGGTTGGCGATTTTCAGCTCCTGGCACCGATTACATGTTATGTGTCACCGGTAACGATGTTGAGTGTTATCGATTTGGGGGAGTGAGAAGTGTCTTGGTGGTAAAATGGGTTAGTTATGTAGCGTTGCTGGTTTTAACAATTTCATGATTTTGTTTTTGTATTTATTGTTTTTAAGATAAAAACGTGTTACAACTCTAGCACTTTTGAAAAAAATGTCCACCTCACTAACAACTATCCTACGTGGCCTGAATTTCTTACACAAACGTGCCACATCATAGATTTCGTTAACCACATCAACGGCTCTGTCAAATTATCTAATTGAAGTTGGTTTAGTGATGGATGGGATTACAATTTCTAAAAGTTACTGACTAATTACATAGTTTTAAAGTTTACTGATTTTGTGAAAACTTTTGATAAAGTTCATTGATGAATGAGGTAATTTATCGTGCCAAATAATAATACATGTAATAATTGAACTTCTAGTTCAATACAATATTTGTCACCTGAATAACTATTTGATCAAACAAAAGATATAATTAATTCTCGAAAATATGATTAACTATGATATATATGATATAATCATATAATGATCAATGTTCACACGATTGTATATTTTCCTTCTAGGACAAACAAAATTTCATAAATTACACATATGATATATTATTCGAGACATATACTACTTTGAGAGCACTTTGTATTTTACTATTGCTTTTGCAAAAACAATATATCAATATTCTTTTGGAATACTAGAATTTTAATTTCATGCTCTTTAAGAACAATAACATATTATTATTTAAAATATAAATTATGTAAAGATTTATACTTCAGAAGTAAAAACATAATTTATTTTAAATTTTACTTAATTATGTTCTTCGGGTGTAAATAAATATAACTAGAATAGATGTAAATAATAACGTGCTACTTCAGAAGCAATACTATTTTGATTTTTAAAAACAATAATTCTCAGTGAGCAATGTATTATTTAAAGAGTCGTACCTCTCCGATAGAATCAATGAGATTCAGCAGAAGTGAATTGATTAAAGCATTACACGGACAAAAAAACTGACTAAAGCATTCTGCAAAATAAATTCTGCGGCACCGAATGGATGATGTATTATGCAATGAATTGACTAAATACGCATGGAATTTGATTACAAATTGCGGCAAGATGATAAATACAAAATTGATTGAATAAGACAAAAAAAAAAAATCAAAATAAATGTAAATAAATAAACTCATACAATCATTCTAAAAAGATAATCGTAAAACCAAGAGAAAAAAAAACAAAAAAAAAAAATCAGCCCAAATTCAAGCATGATATCACAATAACGCCACTAAAACACATAAATGTCTTAATGCATTAGGGGGAAAAAAAATCAAACTACAAAACACAATAAAAAGGTACGAAAAAGTTCTCCTGCCCGCGGCGGGCAAGTTTATCCTGCCCACCTGCTGATGTGGCAGGAGAACCCTACGTGGGGTTCTCTCCAAATGTGAGAACCCCACGTTGGGTTCTCACCGAGTGGGCATTATAAGCTTGCCCGTCGCGGGCAGGAGAACGGGACTGNAATTAGTGGATGAATTTAGAATTATATATTTATATCTATTTAAGTAAATTTACATAGGATTTAAAATATAATAAAATTTTATTTTTAAAAGTGGATGTATATATATATATAAAAATGAATGGAAATAGTGGTACTTTTTACTTTTATTTTGAGAGATAACATGTTATAATATAAAGAAAAATAGTAAAAACTAGAGAAGTCTCATATTAATATATTATATTGAGAATCAAAGCCGCATGCTTATAAGAAAAAATTAGAAATACAATGATAATAAAAATTAAGACGACAGGATATAATTGACATTCTCTAATAATCATATTAATTACAACAATTATTACTTGTCTTTATATGGTCGGCTACAACCTGTATTTGTGCATTATTGGGTTCGAGATTGTGCATTCCAAATCTTGATTTTTCAACAGACTTGGGATTATCTGAAATTTGGTGCAAGATTGACTAATGGGTTCTCATGGAGCAACAATACCTCCGCATGTGCTCATATTTCCTCTGCCAGTTCAAGGCCATGTGAATACCATGCTCAAACTTGCCGAACTCCTTTGTCTTTCTAGCCTCGATGTTACATTCATGGTCTCTGAGTTCAGCCACAGCCGCCTCCTCCAGCACTCCACCGTCGTTTCGCGTTTCGAGCGGTATCCTGGGTTTCGTTTCGAGTCCATTTCCGATGGGCTTCCTGATGACCATCCTCGAGCGGGGGAGCAAGTCATGGACATCCTGCCGTCGACAAAAAACATAACAGGACCACTCTTCAAGCAGATGATGGTTGAGAAGAATTTATTGAGTTCCGACACCCGAAGGCCAGTTACTTGCATCATAGCTGATGGGGTCTTGAGTTTTGCCTGTGATTTTGCTGAAGAGAAAGGAATTCCCCTTATATTTTTTCGTACTATTAGTGCTTGCTCATTTTGGGCTTATTTTTGTATACCTGAACTCATTGAAGCTGGTGAAATTCCCCTCAAAGGTGTTGTATTTTACTAACAAATTAAACTTTTAGATCAAATGATTCAACACAAATTGAATTTTTCTTTTCATGATGAAATTTTGCAGCTGGTGTTAGCAAGGATCAAATAGTAAAAAGCGTGCCGGGAATGGAAGGTTTTCTAAGGTACTGTGACCTGCCTAGCTTTTGCCAGGTCAACGACATCAATGAGCCAAAGCTTCACATCATCAAATCCGAAACTAGGCAAACCACGAGAGCTCAAGCAGTCATTTTGAACACTTTTGAAGATTTAGAAGGTACAATAGTATCTCATATACGCAAGCACATACCAAGGCTCTTCACCATTGGACCAAACAATGCGCACCTGAAGTCGAGACTCGCACAAAAAGAGTCTGAGAAATCCATTCTTTCGTCAAGTTTTTGGGAAGAAGACAGGAGTTGTATCGATTGGCTAAATGCACAGCCACCAAAATCTGTAATCTACGTCAGTTTTGGAAGCATAACAGTTGTGTCAAGAGACCAGCTATTGGAGTTTTGGCATGGATTGGTGAATAGTGGGCAGAGGTTCTTGTGGGTTATGAGGCCAGATTCCATTGTAGGTGAAGACAAGAAGAATCAAATTCCAGTAGAATTAGAGGAGGGTACAAAGGCAAGGGGTTACATGGTGAGATGGGTCCCTCAGGAAGAAGTACTAAACAATGCTGCGGTGGGTGGATTTTTGACTCACAGCGGATGGAACTCGACTCTGGAGAGTATTGTGGCTGGTGTGCCAATGATATGTTGGCCATATTTTGCTGATCAAACGATAAACAGTAGGTTTGTGAGCGAGGTTTGGAAAATTGGGTTCGACATGAAAGATACTTGCGATCGAGAAATTATTGAGAAAGTTGTAAGAGATCTTATGGAAGTAAGGAAGAAAGAGTTCTTGGAAAGGGCAGAAAATATGGCAAAACTGGCAAGAAAGGCTGTTAGTGAAGGTGGATCATCATATTGCAATTTTGACAATCTTATTGATTATATCAAAACAATGGTAATTTGAGTATGCCATCCAGAATATTTGGGTTGGCAATTTGAATTAATCATTTAGTTGAAAGGTAGCTTAAATGGTGCTTCAATTTAATTTGTACTCACTTCTGAAATTTGCTACAACATAATGACATCTCATGGAGCAACATTACCTCCTCATGTACTCAAATAAATTTTAATTTAACAAACCCGCGTTTGTGCAAATTTTATTTTATTAAAAACTAAATTTTTAGTAAATTTTGATAGGGGTTAATAAAATATATGATTAAAAAATTGATAAAAGTTTTGCATCTCATAAAATGTATAGTTAAAATTATTTATTATTTTAACTTAAATTTTTATCAATTTTTTTTTTTTTACTAAGGACTTGTGGTAAGGAACCAAAAATCAATGTCCAATAAACGGGCATGACGGAACGGTAACGTCCAATCAATCTTGCTATATGGATAGGCACAATGGAATTTTAATTTTAAGACAACACAAAATTTCATTGACAATTGGACCGAAACCAATTTCCAATTATCCAAACACAATTTTACAACTTGACGGTACAAATGGCTTTTTCCATGTTCAATCTACCATCACCTCAACACCTAATTCACCTTCGGGTTCACGGATTTGCTACATTTATATTCTGATTGACATTCAACCATGATTTTACTATAGATTTGTCCAACACTTAAAATAGTGGACGACCTTAATTTTGACACCTATTAAAATGTTATCCAAGATGCAAACAAAGAATGTACAAGTAAATCAATTTTCAGTCTATCTACTTTGCCAAGGCTAGTGTTCAACTTTTCTTATTTTGAAATGAATAGCATTTTGTAAGCGAATTATTTTAGATGACGTGACTATGTTCATCTTGCACAACTCTTCAAGAAGCTCTCACTCAAACAAGGACTTCCTGTAGCGTATTGGGTCAAGTTACGGAACTTGGAAATCTGGTCATTCCATTCCGCGCAGTGTAGCACTGCTCCTCCACCTTCCGCAGCGTTTCGGAAAATATTCAAACCAAGTTGAACAAATTCATTCCTTTTTAACCACCAATGGCTACTTCCGTATTATTGATCAATGGATTAATACTCTCCTCTACATTGTCTACAACACTCTCATCAGAGCGTACTTGAATCTCCGTCAACTCCGCACCACCATCCTCCTCTTCACCTACATGCTTCACCATCAAGCGCCACCCAATAACCAACTTCCCCTTCTGTCCTCAAAGCCATAACTTCTGTTTCATTATCCCATTTGGGTTATCTTATGTGTTGTTGCTTTCATGAACAATGTGTTAGAAGAGGGGTAGTTGATGATCCTTTTGTATAAACATCTTTGACGTCTGTTTAATAGCTAATGGGGGATTTGACTAGTGCATGAAAGGTGTTTGATGAAATGCCTCATCCTTGTATCGTTTCGCAGAATGCGATGCTTAATGCTTTTGGGAAAAATGGGGAGATGGGATTGGCTGTTTCGATGTTCTCAGGTATGGCAAAGAGAGATGTTTACTCGTGGACGCGGGTTATCAGTGGGTTAGGGACTTAGGGTACGGGAGAAACGGGTGCTTTAGCGAGGCTGTTGGGCTTTGCAAAAAATGATGGCCCATGAGGATGTAATCAGTGGCCATTTAAAGCCAAATGAGGCTACATTTGTTGGTGCTCTCTTCATGTGCGAATCTGGAAGATGGCTACTCGTTAAATCAAGGAAACAAATATATGAATACATGATCAAGATAGAGAAAGAGTTGAGTGATTTTACAGGCACATCGTTGATAGCATTCTATGGGAAAATGGCTTAGGCTATGCCATGAATATGTTGAAAGCTATGGCTGTTAAGGAGGTGTGCACTTGGAATTCTACTTATTGTTCACTGGCATCGAATGGGACAGAAGGGCAAACCTTGGACATGTTCGCGAGGATGAAGGCTCGAGCTTTGCAGCCAAATGAAGTCACATTTGTTGGGGTCCTATCAGCTTGTGCTCGTGCCAAGTTTGTGGACTTGGGTTTGGGGTTTTTTTTTAATGCCCGAGTTTGACATTATTCCAAGAATGGAACACTATGGATGTGTAGTTGATCTCTTGGGAAGAGCCGGGCTTTTGGAAATAGCCTGATATATTGAAGGTAGAAATTCAGTGGTGGTTCTCACCATACTTCGTTTTCACCCTACTTTGTCTCTAGGAAAAATGTAGAAGAATATTATTTTCAGAAGTGTCAAGATTTTAGACCGTCAACTTATTGCGACGCTCCTCCTTCCTTGAGGCTGGGACTAGCTATCAATAACACAATCTTGCTACACATATATTTTAATTGACATTATACTTTACATTGTATCATGTGACACACAATTTAACCATTGATTTCTCCAACACTTAACACAATCAATGACCTCGATTTTGCCACATATTCAAATGTCATCCAAGTTGTACATAAATAATATCCAAGTGGCATAATTCTCAAAAATATAGCCAGTTGAATTTGAAACATGGATGGATGTTGTCATCAGATTTGATTTGGCAGAGTTTTAGGCAGCGTTCTCTTTGTCGTTTTCAGACCATTTTTTGTTTTCGATTTTTCAAAACGGTGAAAATGCGTTCTCTTTCCTATTTTCGAAAATGCGTTTTTGAAAACGAAATTTTTTTTACACTGAAACGCCAAAACGGCCTTTCAACGTTTTGACTGTTTTCTAGCAAAATCAAGCCAAAATTGAAAACATGGGAAATGGAGTTACTGTTCCTTCTCCCTTCCACAATCTGTATCTCCCTTATCCCATCTCGCCGATTTCTCTCCTCCAACGCCGGTAACCACCACTGCCACAGCCAAACATCTCTCCATCTCGCCACCAGAAAGACTCAAGCACCGCGCAAATCGCAGATCGGAACCAGAAGTAAAATCAAAAGAAAAGGGAGAAAAGGAGTCGCACCCAACCACCGTCGCAGCCAAAATCGCACCCTAACCACCGTCGCAGCCAAAATCGCACCTAAAATCGCACCCAACCATAGCCAAAATTGAACCAAAAATCGCACCCCAACCACAACCAAATTCGCACCCAAAATTGCATACAACCACAGCCAAAATCGCACACAACCACCGTTCACAGAGAGGGAAGGGGAAGAAGAGAGAGAGAGACGCGACGGTGAGGATGGGAAGAAGGGAGAGAGAAGCGACGGAGAGAGAGGGAGGGTGGAAGAAAGACGCAAAATGATTTGGGGAAACGAGAACGCGTTTTCCATTTTTAGTTTTTGGAAATGATTTTTCAAAATAACAGAAAGAACACATTTTCAACAACTTCAAAATATACACTCAAAACACAAAATTCAAAACGAATTGAAAACTCAAAACGCAAAACTGAAATACGAAGAGAACGGCACCTTAGGGTTGCTACCAACCTACCATAACCTTCTCATTTATTCAGGTTTGAAAGTGGCTATGGAAAACATAGTTGGAGTTAAAACATGGAAGTACATTCGTAAGATTACCTAGCGCTCAGTGAATTTTGATGTCACCCTTCAAAGGAAAAAGATCCACTTACCAGATGAGTTGCAAAAATCTCTCTGAATTGGATAAGTCTCATGGTTTGCGTAATATTAATCGGAATCAAGGAAATTTGTGAACTCTACAACAGAAGGGGTAAAAGAGCCAGTTTACTGAGTGCCTACATGTATTTTAGGGCTTGAAGTACAATTTACTTCAAATCAGTGTAAAAAATGAGAGAAAAAAATCAAAGTTTAGCAAATTCAAATTGTTTGTAAGTTGAACTTATTTAGAAATCAGGAAATCGGAGTAAATGTTCATATAGTTACTGATCTCTATACTGTAAATGTATATGTATACGTACTCAACTAACTTCTATTCAGAATCTTACATTTCATCTACAAAAGTTTTATTTGTCAACTTCTTCTGGCTCATACCATTCAGATTATGGTTTCCCTCATCAGATTGTTCGTGGTTCTATACTTTATCCACTCCTGCAAATAACTAAACAATAGAAGCAGCGTGATCTGGAAATACTAATCAATAGACTGAAAATATAAATAGTACAGTATCGTGTGTATTATCTAACCGCTACCAATTAAAAAAAAGAAGAAGAAGAAGAAGAAGAAGAAGAAGAAGAAGAAGCAGAAGAAGAAAACAACAGGAAAGAATAGAAAGAGAATATTGTCTCAAGTTTTTACCTGTCATGGAAAGCCATTTACATGGTCTTTCAGCAAATTTGGTTGCTTCATTTGCTGATTAAATAGCTTCCTTTGAACATGGATCTGTAAAAAACAGACAGTGGTTCTATACTTTATCCACTCCTGCAAATAACTAAACAATAGAAGCAGCGTGATCTGGAAATACTAATCAATAGACTGAAAATATAAATAGTACAGTATCGTGTGTATTATCTAACCGCTACCAATTAAAAAAAAAAAAGAAGAAGAAGAAGAAGCAGAAGAAGAAGAAAACAACGGGAAAGAATAGAAAGAGAATATTGTCTCAAGTTTTTACCTGTCATGGAAAGCCATTTACATGGTCTTTCAGCAAATTTGGTTGCTTCATTTGCTGATTAAATAGCTTCCTTTGAACATGGATCTGTAAAAAACAGACTTTGTAGCTATACAAATCTAACTCGTACATAAAAAAAGTGATTGAGAAGTCAAGAAGGGGTTCCAAAATCAATTATTTGTAATTGCAAGATACAGTTGATTCACTCAGCTATATCCACTCGCAATAATAATCAGAAAAAGATCAATGAAATACTTTACTTTAGAGAGCAATAATCATCAGAAAACACAATAATATACTTTCAAGAGCAATAATCATCAGAAAATGAGCAAAACAATTGGAGAGCGACAATGAAAATAGTGCAGAGAATAAGTACCCAGAAAAATTATCCCTGATAGAATATGCTGCATTGTGACAAATAATCAGCAGATCCAGCTATGTAATCTTTTCCGTTGTTTCTTAATTTGACAAGTCAAATATTGATACGAAATCATTCGAAAAGGGATGCAAGCTCATGTAAAGAGATTAAGACAAACGTAATAACAAATATTCAATGTGACCTTTTAAACGTACCATATCGGTACTATACTGTGCTTGGATTTACAGTCTCTTTTCCTTGTTCCTTTCTCCCATTGTAATTTATGGAACTCTTGAGTCTCTTGAGTTCGCGTTCTTGCTTCAGTTCAGCTGCCCTTCTATTTGCCTTGTTTACCTTGTCACTCACATTCCATCTTCTTTGATTACCCGAGAGCCAATTCATAGCTAATGAACAATAGTAAAACCTTAGTTTATCTCCTTACAATACTAATTATCAATATTACCAAAAAGAAAAATGATATTATTACTTTGATCCTAGAATAATTGGAAAATCATGGCGAGCATACAAGTATTGGTTACGGAATGATGTAATCATATAGAAAGAAAGAAACTTCTTCCTATAAAGAACCAAATTACTATTGTTACATCATAAAAAATGGCATGGAAAGTGTAACACAGTGAAACCAGAGACCAACAAAACAGAGATGGCAAATAGTTCATCAACAGAGGCCAAAGGCTTCTAGTTGACATAACATTATAAGCCAAGAGAAGAGCCAGGGAAGGACAAGGATGAAACTGTTCTGAACATGACAAAACCAACCATAAGCAGAGAGGCATTTGCGTGGAAAGGCTGTAAACCCTGTGAAGCTCAACTCAGCATAAAAGATGTTTGGCATAACCCGACGTATTTTAAAGCGATGACTAAGCAAGGACTTGTCACAGACTTTGTGTCACGCACCAAGAGTGCTCCTCTCTCCATATGGTATGGCAATGTCGCTGACAATTAGGTATATGATCTATATAACCAAGTAGTGCACTAAATGTGTCATCATATGCAGGTATTGTCTAACATCTTACCCTATGATGCACCGACACGGATACGTGTGGCCGACACGATACGTGTCGGATACGCCAACACGCGATTTTTGAAGAAGTACAGACACGACACGCTATCGATACGTTGATTAAATTTTTAAAAAGTCTTCTTATATAGTATAAATTTAGTTTTATACTTGTCATTAATTTTTCTTGTTGAAATCTTTTAAACATGAGTATCTATTTGTTACTTGTTAATAATTTTGAATTAACAATATATAATATTTCTAATATAAAAAGAAAAATGATTATTGTAGAGTGTTTGAGAAGTGTCGGTATCGACACGTGTCGGACATGGACATGCTACTCTAATTGAAATGTTCGTGCTACAGAGATCTTACCCATAAGTGTGCATGTGTGCCAGTTGTTTCGGGCTTTGCCTGTCTAAGAATAAAAAGAAGGCTTCTTGGGGCGCAGAGCCTCAAGGGCCAAACTTGCGGTCCGTGAAACTCAGACTAGTAAAAGTGAATATGATGTGTCAGACACGTTAGCGCAGCAGAGACAGTTGATTTCTCAGAGGTTATTTGACGGGCAAGTTTACCAACGAAGGACACATCTTCTTCCTCCCCTTCTACATATAAACTAACCAACATTCCTCCAAGAGTGGGCAAGGAAAACATGAATAAATATTATACCAAATAAATAAATAAATAAAATTCAACTATTCTGTATAACTTATCCCTAAAAAACACAATCTTGGGCAGACCAGTGGAGATTTTAATCCATTGACTTGCTTGAATGAAAAAGTTGAAAAAATAAGTCAGTTGGGCTTCATCTGAAACTTGAAGTATTTAAAATGAAACTTGCATTGCTATTAAATCAGTACTAAAGACTGTTTACAATCCGATCAACATTTTGAAAACACGCACTCAAACAAATTTCCCTCAATTAAATATATAATTATGTAAAAATAATGGTTCAGCTTTCTAACTCACAGGAATTCAGGGTCATTTCAGTATCTCATAAAATTCAAATTTAAATTGAAAAGGAGAAAAGGTCCCAACTGTGCACCACATTACAGTTTTCAACGGAGTCAGTTTAAGCATAGGTAATGACTATGGTGGGTAGAGACAAATCTCGTGCAAGAAAGATCCACTTAATAAGCAGTTTAATTTTCAATGTGTTCTAGCTAATTATTGAAAGAGCAAATGTTATAAAAAAAAATCATAGAATAGCCACTAACACCAAATAAAAATCTAAAATTTTCAGCTTCTTAACTTAACTGAAAAGTGAACACGCTTCAATGTTAGGTGTGTCTTTTCATCATCTGAAACCATGGTATGAGGGTTCTTTCATTCTCTGAAAGTTAAACTTATTCTTAACCAAATGTCTATTGTATCTGAATTGTTTCAGGAAAAGCTAGTAACAGTTTTTTATGTCCTGTTAATAACTCTTTTCAAGTACTTTTTTCTTGTAGTAAACATAGATATATGTATAAATCTTGTCATCGTGAAATAATATCAAAACTGGTGAGACCGAAACCAACCTATGACACCAAAATCAGTGCCCATTCCAGCATCCAAGTTTAGAGATGGATCTATGGGGTTAGGTTCTTTTGGCTCAATCATTTTCTCTCCCACAACAGCTGATAATATCTCAGATACCGAAGACTCCTGGCCAATCTTTGGTGCAAACATAGATAATGATGGATCGATCTTTGAGGATGGAGAGCATAGCATATCTTCTGTTGCCTTTAAATGCACTCTTCGAAGTTCCTCCTGAATATTCCATGACCCAGATGAAAGAGAATCCTGTTTCTGCCATGTTTGGAGAGAATTATAATTTGGGAAATCATGCAATCAAAGAGATTGAAAGGATCCACAAGACACTCAATCTTTTCCAAGTTAAAATGTTAAAATGAACACATTTTCTATAAAAAGAAAAATTCATCACTTCTACTGTCAAAAACTTGAAAAATTTATCATCTGCAGCTTTATGAAAAATAGAAATGAATCGTTAGAGTTGTGTCATTCATGCGGAGAAACATTTTGCACCAACAAAAACCTGCATCGGGTTCTAATGTGTGAGAATCATCAGTTTCCATTAACAAGAAATGAGGACAAAGCAGCTTCACAAATTTTATCAAAATTTCCATTGAAAGGAATACTTCTGTATGCAGCTTGAGAAATTTGACAAGAAATGATTATTACCTTTTCAAATAGAAAAGAGAGTTTTAAGCATTCAAAAGAAACAGGAAAATAGTTCAGAAGGCTACACGGGAAGTGACCTAGAAGAGAAGATCAAACTTAATGAAGAAGAACTACAGAAATTGGAGATATATAAAGATGAAACAATCAGAAAGCACCTTTGAAGACAAGTAATCATTTCCACTTGAATACGATGTTCCTTCCTTGAACAGCTCCATTGCCATTGTGGATGGAGTTCTTAATTCAGTATGTTTTGAAGGACAGGCCCAAGGTGGATGGACATTCATATGGGATTTAGCCATATCCACAGATGGACCAACTTCGCTTTCTATCTGGATTAGTCAAATTCAGGAACGTCAGAAAATATATGGGCTTCATTTTGCAGAACTAGGCACAGCTTTCCATTTCAAGGGGAAATAAAACAAAAAAGAGTAATCTCCGGAGTCCAGAGTATGATATTTAGAGATATATTTAATCAGCATACACAACAAATAACTGTGATATGACCAGGAAAAAAAATGGCACGAAGAAACAGCATGTTGACAGTAAGTGATAACAATAATATTGCTGGTTTGCACGTATATAAAAAATTACTAACAGGTTCAACCACAGCGGAGTTCAAACCACAGGTCCCATGTGCCAAATCTGACCCTGCATTTAATTGCATTTTCTGCACTTCAAACCATATTTTGGCTTCCACAACATCTTCATTGTAGAGATCAACAGTTCCTGTGAAGTATAGAAAGAACCCTATCAGTGACATGTAAAGAGTTCAAGTGGGATTGATTGCAATATTTTTGTAAAACAATACCATTGCCAACTATATCCCTCAGTGCATCAGTATGTAGACCATTCGCCCCAGCTTCAATTGCGGAATAACCCATTACTCGTGAGTTAACAATGTTAATCAGTCGATCACACTCTTCCCTGAGAGAAAAATTGAAAACAAAATCTTGCATTTCAGATTGGAGGACAAAGAAGTACTATAGGAAAATCATATTCACCACACTTATATCATGTTCGAAAAAAATTATAAGCACAGAGTCAAATATTAATTTTAACCACACATTCACAACTACTACACATTTATTATCCACACATTTCATGGGACCCATTGCTCATGTAATTAAAATTTCTCTGTATAATGCACATTGCATATCTAGTTGTCAATCAATGTCAATCATAAATTTTGGTTCTTACTAAAGATTGTGTTCTAAATTATTTATTGAGAAATAATACTAAAGCCAGAACCCAGGAAACTGGAAATTCTGTAACTTAGCAATTATCACAAGTGGTTAGAAAACAAGCATAAAAAATCTAGACAGAAGGAATGGAGATTGTAGAGAGAAAATAATTGTAGCTCAAAAAATCCAAGAAATTTTTTCAAACAAAGAGCAGATATCATCTACGTTGTCAAAATTACCTTGAAAATGTCTCCTGCATAATCAACCGTTCAATTATACTTTTCCTTGCAATAAATTGGGACTCTTGTCTGTCTTTTATCAATCGCAATGAAGTTTCATTCCTCTGGAAATAATGATAAAAATAAAGCTACTCATTTAACTGTACCAAAATACTTGAGAGGCTAAGATGCCCCAGACTAAAAGTTAATGACATGTTTTACTAGTACTTTAGTATCAGCATTTACTAAAATTTAAACAGCCTTAAAAAACCCATAACAGCATATCAAGTGCCAATCTATCTCACAGTGACTGGAAGATCTCAACTCTCTAGATTATTCTTACCAACAAACATGGAACAAATTTTACAACTAACAACATTAGAAGGAGAATGATAAATTAGAAGAATAGATATTGTCCATCAATACCAGGAGAGAAAAACTGAAAGAGTACATTACAGGTCAACGTGGCTAGTAGGAAATAATTTTGAGTTTAAGACCAAAAGAAAATAATTTTTATTCATTTAAATCACTTAAACAATTTAAGAACACACACCACTAATTAAAATAATACTCACTCAAGGGACTATGATGGACTAGCACTTCACACGCCAATCTCTCTCCTGCACTATATCTCTCACTTTTCAATTCTCTGTTTCTCTCCTCTCACAAACACCACTCATGTATATATAGTCTGTCTCATTCTCTCCTCACAAAATGCATACAGCAAAAACACACACACACACACACATATTTAGGAGTTTTATGGAGGTGGTGGATTTATCTAGAATGAAGGTGGAGGAATAAAAAAATTGTATGCAATATTCTAGGTTCTTCTTCTCTTGGCAGCCATTCTGTTCAAATTCCAGCAGCTTGCAGATTATTCTTTCAATGGCGTTGCTGACTCTTTTCATTTTGACTCTTTTCTTTTTTCGTCACACTCAGCAATATCTGAACTTAATGAATTTTAAAGCACTCGGTCCATTATTTAACACATTCATGACTTCAAATATATATGGCTCTTTCATACTTTCCTTTTCATTCATTTTTAGGTTAGCATACTTGGTACTTGGTTTCTCATGTCCACTCGACTCCCTTATTTGTTATTGTGAATTTGTACGTACTTCAATCTTTTATTGACTTTGTCGATCCTCCGCTACAATTTTTTGGTTCACATCATTTTGCCTAGGACTCTGAGACATTCTTCTAAGCACTTCTTTATCACTTGACAATTGTACATTTTTAAATTCCTATGTTACCTTTATGCTCTTGTTTTTTTTATTCACTCTCACATCTTCTCCTTCAACTTATCATCCATTTCTTTTGAATCTAGCAGTTCCACCTTTTATGGAATATGCTTCTTCAACCATCTTCTGACTTCGATAATTCCGCCCTCTGTGAAATCTACTAAGAAGACTTTTCATGAACCAAGATGTGATCTCCCGAGTCATCGATCCCATTATCTTCTCCATCCATTTGTTTAGGCAAGACTACCAAAAACACTAATCCGTCTTTTAAACTTAAATTGATTTGTCCTTTATACTTGTTGGAGGTTGCTACATTGCCTTCTATTGGCTCCTTTTTAAACCAATAATATCTAGTATAATGACCTTATTTTCCACACACAAAGCATAAGTCATTAGTTCGTTGATATCATTGACCTTTCTTGCCACAATTTTGTTGAGCTCCCTTTATCTGATAGCTTCCTTCAATCCGTCTATTAGATTTATCTTCTTTTAGTTCTTTTTTATTTTATTAACAGAATTAGCCTCTTCTTTTATAAATAAATAATTCTTGTTCCTTTTCTTTCTTTATTAAGACCCTAACATTTGTCTAGTCAAGGCTTCTTGATTAACCAACAAATTTTCAAAATTTACTAATGACAATTGTTGTGGCCAACTTTGTATTGCTGAAATAAAACCTCTAAATTCAGGTTTCAATCCATGTATGATTATTCTTCTCATTCTAGACTTCAAAAATTTAGTTGGACAATCTAATTCATAAATTTGGGGACATAGAGATTTAACTTTGTTAAAATATTGACATACCGTCAATTTCTCTTGAGTGATCGAAAGTATCTCATTCTCCAGAAGCTGCAACTTAGATCATTTTTCTTCAAGAATAGTACAGTCAGAGTGTCCACACACTTCTCTTGGTGTGTTCTTATTTATTATATACTCCAAAAATTCTTCGACGATTGTTGTCTTTATAATGAATGTGGTCTTGCCTGCTTTGATTATCCACTTTTTCAGAGTCACAGCTTCTTATGGTGGTGTCACGTCACTTCTGTTTACTTCTTCCCACAAGTCTCGTCCTTCAAGATAAGACTACATACAAATTTGTCATGTGGTATAATTTTGATTATCGAACTTTTTAAGTCCACCTACCACTTGTAAGTCGTCATTGTAACTTGATTTACCTCTTTGTAATCAAGCAAGCTTTATAACATTTTCACAATCTTCCTTTGTACACGATCTCAAGAAGCCCAAAAATTTGTCCCCACCGCCTTGCTCTGATACCAAATTGTTGAGTTTAACACCCAAAAAAAATATTTTTTACTGATATAAATCACTTACACAATTTAAGAACACACGCCACTAAGTAAAATAATACCCACTCAATGGACTTTAGTGGACTAGCACTTCACACGCCACTAATTAAAATAATACCCACTATATCTCTCACTTTTCAATTCTTTGTTTCTCTTTTATCAAATACACCACTCATGTCTATATCGTCTCTCACATTCTCTCTTCACAAAATGCATACAGCCAACACTCACACAATATATATAGGAGTTTTATGGCGGTGGTGGATTTATCTAGAATGGTGGTGGAGGAATCAAAAATTGTATGCAATATTCTAGGTTCTTCTTCTCTCAGCGGCCATTATGTTCAAATTCCAGCAACTTCCAGATTACTCTTTGAATGTCAGTGCTAGATCTTCAATGCATATGTTGTCCTTCAACACTAAAGAATTTGAACCAGTCATGTTTCAAAGTTGAACAAAAATGCATAAAAAAAATATGCTGGTGCAATTTGGAAGCAATTAAACTTCTTTTTCAGCCATAGCTTACTCCAAGGAGCTATTCAAAGAAGTTCATTTTAATTATAAAAGGCAAAATGCTAACTAATTGAAGAGTTGTGTCCACAAACCCATTAACAACCTGAAAAATTTTCTTTTCTTACTCCTTATTCATCCTACATTTCAATGAATCCAGTGCAAAAACCTCGATATCCTGTCCTGAGGTGCCTTTAGCATCAAACATAATAGAAGAACCTCTGTAATTGTCATGTATCATATGGTGGCACAAAAAAAGTTAAACATCCAAAAACCTTATGTACCGAACAAATTATTGCATTTTACTTCTATGAATCATCTTCCCCTTTCCTACGGATTTTTTTCTTCTTTAACTTCCTGGATAAGTTAAGTACTAGTGCTTAGGCACGCAAACACAATATGGAAGTATCTAAGATAAAAAAGTTTGTCAGTTGTTCCATTTTCTATTTGGCATCAGCACCATGCAATCATCATGCTATAATACGAAGCAGAAAGTTACCCGGCTTAATTTATCAATTTCATCAGAAGNGGGGGGGGGGGGGGGGGGGGGGGGGGGGGGGGGGGGGGGGGGGGGGGGGGGGGGAGAGGGAATAAAGGTGAGCAACAGGATAACATTTTAACTTGCCACACTCAGTAGCTACCAATAGAAACAAAACCAAATCAAACACTAAGACAAAAAATGCAATCTGAAAGGTGGGATAATACTGATGGTATCACAATTTTCCATAAACAGCAAGAATACTATCATATATGTAAGCTGTAAAGATGGGTTTTCCTATCTGGTATGTGTTTCAATCAAAAGGAGTAAAGTAAAAAATTCGAATTTATTATTTCTGAATTTAGGCTTCAAACACTCCGCCACAGCTCATAGAGATTCTTCCAGCTGAACCAAACTCACAGGATATCAGCCTATTGTGTCAGAAATTCAGTTTATCTATTACAGAGCGCCAAATTACGGAAGTGTACAAAACTTAGCTTCAAAATATTCAAATCAAGAGACACTAAATTGCACCTAAATAAAAGAGAATTATTTTAGATATATTAGGGACAAGAAATAGACTTCATCACACTCCTAATTCAAACTCCACAACAAACATGTAAAACAGCACAGAGGGGAATGTTAAAATACATAATTTCGGTGAATACGTGTGGACACACGAAATACATGTAAATAACATATGTGTACCAGAAGCGGAGTCAACATCTTCAGAAGAAGAAGAAGAAGAAGAGTCGGAAAGGAGAACGGAGGAGAGGATTTTTCCGGCGCCGGAAGCAAGGGTGAGGGCTGAGTGGAGAATTGCATCAACTAACCAATTTGGCGAAGGCGGAGAAGAACGGTCGTGAGGACTGGCAGTTTGCCTGTTCTCCCGCCCGTTTGAGACAATTTTTACACCGGCGCCGAATCGAGAGCACGAAGCGGTCGCCATGGTGAGAAATGGAAATGAATTGAAATGATTTGAATATTTCGTTAGTTTCAGTTATTATTGTGTTTTGTAACAGCGTATGTGACGCTAGACCCCGAATAGACCCATTTTGACGCTGGGATATCCATGTTTGGATTATGATTAAAACTTAAAAGTTAAAAAGCAAATTTCGTTTAAAAAAAAGATTAAAATAATATTTATTAAAATTCTAAAGGTAACCTTTACCGCTAAAGTTTATTCATAGAACAAAATTTAGAATTCAAAATATGGGCATATTTAATTTTTTTTTTTTTTTGGAATGGATTATAA